CTCATTTGAAAGACCAGCGTTAACGGTGCGAGGTTTATGACATGACTTGAAATGGGATTTAAGGTGCAATAGCAAAACGTTCAAAAGTAGGCATACCGGATTAAGTCAAAGACATCAACACACGCATGTAGTAATGCCAGCAGAGTATTTTTGGATAGGGTTGCTACGTGACCGTGACAGCCACACTATTATGCTAATTGTATGGGTTTCATCAGGTCTGCTTATCTTATTATGCATTTGATTAACTGTGGTTTTCTCTAAAAATGTCCTTTCCTTCCAAGTGCTTATTTGGCTGACCATTCTGGTCGAATCCCATTGGGTTACGTCACTCTTCAGAATGATAAACTTTACCACGGAGAAACACTCATCTGCTCTGTTAACGCAAGGCCATATGTCTTCGCGTCTTGCTCATAAACTTCTTTCCTGTTCCTTCGGTGCCTGCATCAACTTCCTGCTGTTGGTACAACCACTGACCTTGTGTTTTGTCCCCGTCAGGGTTGATCAGAGACGTCATTCAAGTGGTATTAGAAGATATTCTATGACTATGAAGATTTTCGAAATTTAGGATGCACACAATCTACAAAGCAAACTTTCTTCTGTTTGCCCCGCATCCATTTGACAAGACATTACTCTGGTCTATATGCTCTATACGTCGTCGTTCGTTCCTCTCAAAATCAACCAAAATTCTTGAGGATCCAGGAAGAATTGTACTCTGAATTGTACTCTGCTGGTGTGCATTGAGATAGCACTGCTGTTTCTGTTTCACTGCTCTTTTATCTGATTCGTTTCGCCCTGCTCTACTCAATTACATGCCAAGTTCATTGCATAAGAATGAATAGCGTTGTGCCACACCCCTGTGCTGCTCTACTGGCTATTAGAAGGTTATACTGTTAGTGTTGTTTCCTCTGTTTATGTAAATTAAAGGCTGATCAGTTTATTGCCAATCATCTACAAGATCTTCACGAAGGTGCTGATGAACAGACCTCAGTAAAATCTGGACACTGCACAGCCAAGAGAGTCAGTAAGATTGAAAAGAGGGTTTCAGGCGATATTTTATCTTCAAGTAATACAACAAGCAAAGAATATCAGTTTCATCTCTTCCATGGAGTTCGTCGATCTTGAGAGCGCTTTGGGTTCAGCGTACATCCGTTCTGTACTGGATTTCTTGAGGAGCTGTCTAGTCGAGAGAAATCACAGAAACCTCTTCGTCTTGATTTACGCGAATGCAGCTGTGAAAACGGGCTAATTCAAAATCTAATGGGCGTTCGACAAGGTTATAGAATG